ATGATAATGAAGCTTAACTTACAAAACAAAGTGAATTAATCACTTAATAAAAAAAAAAGTGAATCAATCACAGTGACTTTTTTTTTTTTTCAATTTTTTCAAAATCGAATCTTAATGTTACCCAATCATACCTGAAGTTAATAATCAAATACATTCATATCCAATTCAAATAAATTAAGTGGATATCATTATTTTGTAAATATGATTTATTTAAAAATATCTTAATGATAACTGAGTCCAAGTCATGCATTTTAAAGAAAACCATAATCATAAATCGTGTGAAACGTATAGCATATCTTAGAAAGTAATATTTTCTATTTGTTAAAAATACAAAAACAAGAAAATAAACTAAAAAACTTGGAAGCAAGGTATCGTGAAGTTCAAGATCTTACACCAACGAAGGCGTTGACCAAATAAAACAGAAAACAGCAATGAAGGCATTGCTTTAGAAACTCTCGTTGTCCTGTGCGTGCAATTAATAAATGCAAAGGGGTAAGTAAATTCCGTGGCACTTGCATGCAACTAACACTAAGCAAAAGAAGTATAACAAACTTAGCTGAATAGATCCTACACCCTCCATGGCGTCTGCTTAGAAACTCTCACTGTACCATAAATGCAAAGGGGGTAAGTAAATTTAATGGCACTGGTATGGCAATGCTACCAACTTAGAAAAAGAAGGTGAAGAGAGACAGATAAGTAGTAGTTAGATTCTACAACTCAATCAATAATAATTTAGTAAGAAAGTAGGCACACAGCTGGAACCATCTTTCTCACTAAGTTTTATTGTTTTAGTTCTTAAAAATATATTTATTGTAATAAATTATAAAAAATTAATAAATATTTACTTTTAATAAAAAATTATTATTTTTAAATAATTAAATTTAACTCAGTTACGCTTTATTAACTAGTTAATCTTTGCATGTAGAGAAGTAAACAAGGTGGCTCTTGAATGGCAACTAAGGACCAACACTGCCAAAACTAGCCAATGAAGACAGTAACAAGCATGTTCCTTAGGTAGAAGGGCAGTATTTAAAAGGGATGGGTGATTGTCATAACCTGACAAGTATTGATGTTTTGCCGCGAGGACAAAGTTAAGACTTAAATGTACATAAAAATTATCATACATATTTTATAAATAACATCAATTCTTAAAAATAAGTATAAATGTTTGAAAATAATATGTTTTTATGGAAAAAAAGTATTTATTATATTAAATTTATTATTATTTAAATAAAATTAATGTTTTTAACTTTTAACTTAAAATTTAATTTCATCTTTTTATTTTATTTTAATTTTTTAAATTTTAAAAATGTTTTAAATAATTTATTTTATAAAAACTTTAACTTAATAAAGTTAGAAGATAAAATTTAAAATTTATTTTTAAAAAGATGAAAACATTAATTTTATCTTTTTTATATAAATATTAATTTTATTATATTTTAAAATTATTATTTAATTATTCTTAAATAAATATCTTATTTTTATAATTTTTTAAAATATTATATTTTAATATATATAATTTTTAAATTCTATATATATAAAAATAAACCCATGATGGTCCAAGTCACTAAGACCACTCTAGAAAAACCCATTGTTCCGCATGTCATTCTCTGGTCTGTTACATTAATTGGTTTGCAGGTATATTTACTTTCATGGATTTGTTGTATCTAACATTGAAAAGTTCAATAAAATGTGTATGATTGGATGACACGTTCATTTGCTTCAAAAGTGAGGGAGCATCATTTTAAGAAATATTTAAAACACCGTTTAATAAATCAAATAAAAGTAAAAAATATATAAAATATTATTATTAATACAATTTCTTTGTAATTTTAATATAATTTGTTTTTAAAATATTTCATTTTAATTTTTAATTAAGTGTTTTTGGTATAGGAAAAAAAGAATTTTTTTAATTAGGATTTTAAAGGTATTAATTAGTAAAAACTTTTTTAAGTAAAATAAATTTTATTAATGTTAAGGATTTTGCTAAACACTAATTGAGAAATTTAAAATAAAAAGTATTATATATATATATATATATATATAAATATAATAGAAATTGCTACATTAATAATAAATAATGGAAATAATGTCTATTTGTGTAGCAAATAATGCAAATGAAGATAAATTTCAACCCTCACCAAGCTATATGATCCCACATAAATGCATGTTATTAATCCATCATTTTATACATATTTTGTTTTTAGTTAATTAAAAATCACAAAAAATATGTAACTTTAACTTTTAAGATAATAATTTTTTTAAGTTGTGCAATGTTGTATATGAAAAAAATTATATATAATACATTTTTATAAAAGATTATAATATTTAATATTATTAATGCATTAAATTATGTAATTTTTAATAAAAATTTATAAATTTATAATCAGGGAGTAGTGTTAGAAACATACTTTTTTTAACAATCTTTTAATTATTAGTTAAAATTATTTTATTAAATTTTTAATAAACTTTATATATTCATTAAAATTTATTAAAAATAATACTAATTATGTAGGTATAAATCTTAATTTAATCATTCTTATTTTTATTTTTATAAATTTTAACAAAATAATTATAATTAAAAGCGTGTTTCTAACATTATTCCACACACTCATAAATTTATAGAATAATTCAAAGTACACCTACCTTTTATTCTTATAAACCCTAGTATGCTAAATTTTAATTAAAAAAAGACAAATTACAAAATATATAAATTATTTAAAACTAAAAGTCTATAAACTATATTTAGAAAATCATTTAAATGGTAAAAAAAAATCTTTAGATAAAAAAACTAAATGAATTAATTTGTTAGTTATTGAATTAATCTTGCAAATAATATGATATATGAGTGCATAAGATAAATTTTGTATGTGACGGTAAAATATTTTGTAGAATAAAATGCAATTAAAGTTTGATTTTTTCATAATAAAGTTTATTACTTTTAAGTAATTAGATTCCAAAATCTTAATATGTTAAATGAAACATTATTAAGTATTTTTTTATATTTTTTAAAAATATTTTTTTTCATTTAATACTTAATTTAAATAGAAAAATAAAAAATATAATAAAGTTAAAATTCATAATCTCCGTTGTTTTTATTTTATTTTTTGTTTATAAAATATTTAAAAATACAAATTTAGTACTTTACTCTGGATCTTTCTTTTTTATTTTTTTATTTTGAGTTGATATTTTAATATTTATTTTATTTTACTATGATACTATAATTTTATATTTTATATTTTGGTCTTTTATTTATTTTTTATTTGAGTTCTTTAACTTTTTAAGATTTTTTTTGTTAATTATATTTAATTTTATTAAATAGTACATTTTTCTTAATTATTGTTAATATTTTTTTTCTTCTCTTAAGTTAAACATAAATACATAATTAATAAAAAAAATACTTCATTTCATTTGTTTAAAATTTTGAGGATTAAAATGAAACAAAAGTATCAATTTTAAATAAAAAATAAAGTTAAAGGATTGAAATAAAAAAATTAAAATATAAAGCCAAAGTTTAAAAAAATTAAAAAATAGTTTAAATAATATATTATATATTAAAATAAAAAATATCAATTAATTTAAATAATGTAAGATTTTTCAGATTTCATAACTTTTATAAAAACCTAAATTTTAATGATTAAATTGACAAAATTATTATTTATGAAAAGAAATAATTATTTAAAATATTATTTTATTAAATTAAACACTTAAGTCTCATTCGTGTATACAGTGATGCCATAACATGTAATACCAAGGTCTGCTTAAATTTGCGTCCACACAATAGTTATACTACTATACAACATTCTTCTGCTCTTACTTTCCAATAATGACTTCTTATCATATGAAAAAATATACGTAGTAGTTTAAGTTTTCTTGTAATACTATACAACATATAAACAACTCTATGCCTTCCCCTGACAGATAAACATATATTTTGTCCTTGTACACATTAATTAAAAATGTTTAATATTGGACATCATGCAACTCAATATTTTAGTATTTTAGTTTGATGAAACCAATAATGTCATCAAACATGTTCAAGAAACCACATATCACTAGCTAAGAATTTGATATCCACAAGCAGAGTAGGGCAAATCATATTCTTTTGGCATTCTTTAACACAAGAATCTTAGGTGAACAAAATCCATAATTAAATGATTATCAAAATTTGTAATCCTACAACAGCGTTAGTCATTTATTCCCCCAAGTTATGCAAGACTTATGAATATACTTCTATAAATTATATATTAAGTAGTAATAAATATCTTGTGCATTCTACAAGTATTTTTAATTAAATAAAATTCAAAAAAACATAAAATAAAAGAACAACTTAAAAAATTATAAATAATTAGGGTGAAACAAAACATTTAAAAATAACGAGTTTAATGAAAGTGAGATTCCAAATATAGTATAAAAAGAAAATCTAAAAATTAGTTAAAGAAAATTTGATGAAAATTAAATAAATTTAAAAGTTTAAGAAAATTGGAAATAAATTAATAATTTTGCAATTATAAAAATAAATATTAACCTATAATAAAGTGATTCATCACTAGGAAAAAAGAATTTACTTTTCAAATGATGACATAATATTTATACAAGGCTTGATATTTTAATGTTACATATAATTTTTTAGCTACTTTTCTGGTGACTTATCAAACACTCTCACCTGTAAGAAAGATTGTTAAGAAGTTAAGAAGCTACGAAAGTTTTGGAAATGTTGGGTGAACTTTCCTCAACTAAAGGTATCCTCAAGTTTGCAATAGGAATGGACTAATTGTGAAATATCCAATGCCTTTGAGGGTTGTTTTCGTCACTGTCTTTCACTATGTAACAGCCTCACTCAGGCCCATATGGCTATATCCTTGTTATTATATATACTATATATACACCATACAGATAGATAGATATTCTTCATATATCTTCGTTTTATGGTTCAAAGTTTTCATTGCCACCTTCTTTATTCTGGTCCCTTCCCTGCTCATCCGGCTAGCTATAGCTATCATGAAAACCCCTATTTCACATTCTTTGCTCTCTCTTTTACACCTTTTCATCCTTTGCTTGTTATGTTTTGTGGTCACAATTGAAGCCTCAAACAAGCAAGTCTCAGCCATGTATGTGTTTGGAGACTCCACAGTAGACCCAGGAAACAACAACTTCATAAACACAGCTTTCAGAAGCAACTTTCCGCCCTACGGTATAGATTTTGCCAACCAAGTTCCCACGGGAAGGTTCACTAATGGGAAGCTTGGCACTGATTTTGTTGGTAACTTTTCGTTTCTTTCTTCATTTTCTTTGCATGTTGAACATTCAATAATTATATTCATAAGTCCTGTACATTGTTTCTACTTAATTTTTTATTTCTTATCTCTCTTTTTTCCTATCTATTTTGATCAATATCCCTTTTTTGTATTTCGTATATAGCCGAAAAATGAGCTGTATGGTGAACAGTATTCTTAAATATTTGTTATGCAATTCATAGAGTATGGATAAGTGTCATGCATTTTGCGAAACTGATTTATCCTTGCTTGATGTAGCTTCATATCTTGGCCTAAAAGAGCTGTTGCCACCTTATTTGGATCCAAATCTTAGCGATGAAGACCTTCTAACAGGAGTCAGTTTTGCCTCTGCTGGTTCAGGCTTTGATCCACTCACTCCAATGCTGGGTGTATAACTCTCTCTCTCTCTCTCTCTCTCTGCCTTAATCTTTCTCCGTTTCGCGTGTCCATTATTATCAACAGTTCAACATTCATTAATCAAGGGCACTTGGAAAAGTAGAGAGTCAAACTTTCTTCTCTGTCATTTTATTCTATGCCTCAAAATGAACGGCATTAAGCTCAAAAACATTTTGCAGTATTGTCCTTGCATGTAGAAATACATATAATTTATAAATAAACTGTACTCTTGATGGTTTATATTTTATCTAAATTTATCATGACATTATAAATTTAATAATGAATGGATAGGCATTCAAATTGATTTATGACAATTTTTTACTTTTACGGGCAAAATCTATGACATTTAATGTTAAATTTTTATTTTAATTAATAAAAATCACTAATACACCTGATTAATTGTACCTAATTTTGTGTGCTTTACTACTTCTCTTAAATTCTAAGAATTAATTGTGCTAATTAAATTTTGTATCGGTATCTAAGATATGTATCCCCTCTGATATATTAAGTATAGTATGTTATGATATTTTTTTTAATATACTGTACCACATGTCGGCATCATGCGATATTAATCTGTATCACATGTTTTCATACTTTTTGCGTATAAAATTATTTTCTTTATCATTATGACATGAAAAAAAATGGAAACAGATATGATTGTATTTTAATTATGTTGTTTGTCTTGGTATTGATTGCAGAATGTAATTCCAATTGCAAAGCAGGTGGAATATTTCAGAGAATACAAAAAGAGGGTAGAGGGAATGCTTGGTAAGCAAAGAACTGAAAGACATATGAAAAATGCATTATTTTTCATCAGCGCGGGTACAAATGACTATGTCATTAACTATTTTTCGCTGCCAATGCGAAGAAAGAGATACAGCGTGCCTGGCTACGGGCAGTTCTTGTTTCAACATGTAAAAGAATTCATACAGGTTTTATTCTGATCGAACCGCACTGCATGCATGCTTGTTTTTCTTTTTGTATACAGTATATAAACACACGCAACAGTTACACTTTTCATCTTCAAATATATATGCTGAAGCTAATACCCACTGTTTGAGTGAAAAGAGGGTGCATCAACAAGAGATAAAAAAATAAAAAGGAAAAGACAGAAACTAAAATTAAATAGGAGTCAAAATTTTAAATAGTAAAATTAATTAAATTTTTTTCGTAAGTTAAAATCATCATATACTTTTCTAATTTTAAGAATTTTTCATTTAACTTTTTTTAAAATTTGAAGAGATAAATATATTGATTTTCTTCTTTTATGAAGTTTTATTTAGAAATTTATTCAAATTATATGAGAGAAAATAAGTGTGAAAAAAATGTGAGAATTATGTTTTTTAATAATTCAATCTTTGTATAAAGACGACAACAATGAAAAATTCTCTCACGTGAACATCCTTGAAATAGGTATGAAATGAAAGTAACTTTTAAGTGATTATGGACGTGTTATTCTAGCTACTTACGTTGCATTATGTATTAGTTTTGTCATAAATTCTAAAATTTATACTTACAACACAATATAATTAATCAAAATCACATAGTTATAGATCCTAAAATTTTTTTTCATGAATGCAATACGAGAGAAAAAAGTGAAAAAAAAAATATGCTTTTTACAAAATTGGATGAATGAAAAAAGAATAAAAAATATTTTATATTACAAAATATTTTTATAATGAAAATAAAAAATTATTTTAATGAAAAAAATTAATATAATATTTTCTTAATTACTATGTAATTTTGAATTACTTTTTAATATTTCTATATTATTTTAAAACCATTTTAATGAAATATAAAAAATTAAAAAACCTATGTCCCTCTTCCGCCCAAATTTTATCATTTTGTGAGAGAAAGTTAAATGATTGACACCTTCATTCATACAAGAAAAAAATATTCAAATAAATAAAAACTTCATTTTCCAACATTTTTTATTTTTTCCACCAAAATAAACAAAACCAATTTGAAGGTAAAAAAGGTATAAATAAAAAAATAATAAGTGATATAATAAAAGAAGAAAAAGGTAAAAATAAAGAAAAACTGTATAGAATGAATGTTACAACAAAAAATTTATGCAAAAAGTGTGAAAAAAACACACCAATTGTGTCGGCATTCAATTGAGTTTTAACTTTTTATACACTTTATAGTGTTTTTTTTTAATATGTTTTTTTCTCTCTCTTTTTCTATCAAGTTGTATTATTTATGGCATCTTTTATGCTTTCTTATTAGTTATATATATGTATATGTATATTATAAAGTGTATCAAAACTTTTTTTCCCCGTTTAATTTGCCTTACCGGTTGTTGTATCTGATCCAAAATCTAATACCTTTTTCAGAATTTTTTTCATTAAATTTTTAATAATACTCCTTACAAAGTTATTTCCCGTATTAATTATTTTTATTTAATAAAACTATCTTTAAAGATAAAGTAAATATTTTTAGTAAAAAAAAATAATGAGTTTTAATGATTTTAAAAATAAATTTTTAAAATTTGATGTCAATAATAAAATTTGTTATATTTCTTAATTTTTATAAAATAATTAAAATTATATTTTCACATCATTTTTTAAATCATAGATCACAATATTTTTTTTATATTGCAATCCCAAGTTGATATAAAAAAAATGCAAAAATACAAGTGCTATTTTTCTGTGTTGTTTTGAACTTTAAATAAATAATAATAAATAAATTTTTAATATATATTCAAGATTATAATACAATTTGTTATTAAAAATAATATATTCTAAAATATTTATAACATTAAATTCGTAATTAAAAACTATTATTTATTACAAATTCTTATTTTGTCTCTAAAATATTAAAAAATAGAAGAATAATCTATATAAATATTTTGACAAATTTTACTATGGTCGCCAAAGTCTAAAGTCTAACATAACATGCTCTTTTACCTAAACTTAAAACATGGGGACTTTGCTTTGTAATATGTTCATCTTTTTGAGGTAATTAGTTTTATATATACATGTATATATATATATATATATATATATATATATTACTAATTAAAGATTAATTTAAAATATTACAAAGTATAATATATTGATAATATTAAATACTATAGTTTTTATAAAATTATTTAAAAAATATTAACATTAGTGTTTAAGGTTGAAAATTTTATTAAAAAAGTATTAATTATATTTTATAACTTTAATATATTAAATATATTTTTTAATAAATATTTTTTTTACTTTTAGATGCTTCAACAACTCGAACTTAATAAAAATATTTATTAATTTATTATTGCATGATTTTTTTGTACACATTAAAAAAATTCATTTATTATAATCATTTTTTATTTTTATTTTTGTTTTTTTTATATAAGTGAGTAGTTGTTAGTAGCTACAAGGTTGATAGGGTAGCTCAGAAAACCAATAAAGCATCAAAGCATCTCAATCCAACAAACATTAGTTTGAAATCGCAAACTTGGTATCCTAACTTCTAATTGGCAATTACTAGTTTCCGAATTCTCAATTATAACTAGTACACTTGTGTAAATTATTTTTTGGCTTTTTGATAAAACACCTAAAAATATTTTAATAGTTTTAATTATAAGTGATTTTGTAATTTTTATTAAACACTTATTATTTAACATCTAATTTAATTCAAAATATCTTATAAAAAAACCAAAAAATATTTTGCAAGAAAATAATTTGTAAAGCGTTATGATATTCGTGGTTAGACATTTAACTAATACTAGTTCTATATCTTCAGAGTTTATGGAGAGAAGGTGCTCGAAAAATAGCTTTGGTTGGAGTACCTCCAATGGGATGTTTGCCAATCATGATCACATTCAATTCCAAAAATGTCGTTCTTGGACGTGGTTGTGTGGACAAGTATTCTGCAGTTGCAAGAGACCACAATCTGATGCTTCAACATGAATTGTTCTTAATGCAGCTAAATGTTTCTAAACCTGCTGGTGCTAAGCTCTCCTACATCGACATATATGAACCTTTGGCCAACATGATTCAAGGGCGTGAAAATCTTGGTAAATAAATAAGTAAACGACTTAACCCATTATGTTTGTTCCTGAGTCATATGAATCGGTTCACAATTGCCTAATTAGGCAACCTTAATTGATTTGCTTATATATGTTTGGTTGTAGGGTATGACGAGGTTGATCGTGGCTGTTGTGGAAGTGGTTTCGTCGAAGCAACGTTTTTGTGCAATGGGGTTTCGCATGTGTGTTATGATCCATCAAAATATGTGTTTTGGGATTCTATACACCCTACGGAGAAGGCCTACTACGACCTATTTATGGCAGCGCGTCCCAACATTGATGCCCTTCTCAGCGGCTAGATTCCTAGCTATCGTTTTTACATTATACATTATTTTTTTGCCCTCTCAATTTGGTTAGTTAATATTAGAAAGTTAGAACCATAACAAACGAAAAAGGTATATTGCTGTACCAATAAAAGGGGTGATTGGAAAATAGAAAGAATAACAAAGTTTCTTATTTCTAATTTGTATAAAAGCATTTGTTTTGACCGTACATCATTTAATTGTTATTAAATTTAAGTATATTTAATAGGATCGTCAAGACAAATTAGATTTTATAAGATCCAAATTTGACCTAGTTCTTATAAGTTCTATTAAATAAAAATAAATTTACTTAAACAAATCTTAAAAAAATATAAATTTTTTAATAAATTCATTTAAGTAAATATTAATTTTTTTCTATTAACTTTTTATCCTTTTTGTCTTCATAACTGACTCTCATTATCCTCTTTCATCTTCTTCAATTTCTACTTCATTTACCATTCAGTTCTGCTGCTTCAACTCCCTTTCGTGATCACATAAATAAAGTTTGTTTAAATTAATTTTATATAATATTTTTTATTATTATTTGAGTGAAAATAGAATTAAATGTCTAATTTTTACAATGAAAGAGAATTCAAATTCTAAAAGAATCAATAAATATATATAAGGAACAATTTTTTTATACTAGTGTAAGTTTATAAATTCTTACACTCAATTTGAGCCTTTCATTTAATTTATATTTAATGGATTATAATTTATTATTTTATTAACTGTTAGATGTAAGTTAAATGAAAGACACAAATTGAGTGTAAGATTTTTTAAATTTATATTAGTTTAAAAATATTTTTCCTTTGTATATATTATTTTACTGTTTGTGTATAAGTTTTAAAAATATAATTTTGATTAAAAATATATGTTGAAGATTTTTAAAATTAAGTATATTTTAAAATATTGTGGTAAATTAAAATATTAAATTGTAAGCTTTTAAATTAATGAGTAAATTTTATGAAAAAATTATTTTAAATTTTAACATCTCGTTAAATATTAAAAATTATAACTTTGATGTTTTTTATGTACATTAAATTTTTGCTTTTAATCTCTCTCTTGGTATTTAATCTCTCTCCGTAAATCAAGTAAGAGGGTGGGAGTGTGGGACCAAAATCATAAGAAGGGACAACTTTGGCAGATGAAAACGGTGGCTGAGGGCACAAGAAAAATGGAATGGATAACTACTGCCTTAGCTACCATCAAATACATGACAAGTTGCACCACTTTTATGATGTTTCATTAATAATTTTGTGAAAAAAAATTATCTAAATAATTTCCGTTGTTTGTCATGTTGGATGTTGCAAAGGAAGTTGTCACCTACTTCCATCCCTACTTATAAATTATATGTTGGCCTTGAATCCACTAGATATAGTAGACATCAAATGGTTAATTTTCACTTAAAACAAGTGTATAATTTTATCTATTATTTTAATTATTTTACTTGTATCATTACCAAAATTTTGAGTTAGGTTGGAAGTGAAATGATATTTCAAAAATAAAAATATTTTTGTAGTAAGTAACTTATAATAAACATCAAATAAAGAGAGAAAAGAAAAATACACACCTCACTCAAATATATATCTAGAATGCAACTCAACTCCTAAATTCAATCATCTATATTTTAAGAGATTGCTTTAAAATGCAGGGAACATGGTCTCAAACTCATTTACTAAAACAAATGAAGTTTCTTCTTTAGCTTTCATTTGAGCAATAGGCTTCAAATCAACTTGAAAATAAAGTAAAAGGTTTAGTGCCTTGAAATTTCTACGTGATGTTAGGGTTTAGATGTTTAAAAAGATTCATAATCTTCAAATTAAAATCAAGGAATGTTGAGGTATTGAGCCACGGTACTTTTTAATTGTGTTTATGTATTAAATTATAATTTTTCGTCCTCTTGTAATGTTTTGCCTATATATTTTCAAAGTGAATTTTTTATTGTTCAAGTTCATCCTACGATAGTTAAATTAAACGAATCTACCACAAGTATAATAAAGTTTCTATGTGTAGTGGATTAATTTAAAGTACGTGTAGAGAATTCATACTTGGTTTTGTGAGCGTCATAGGAAATTGCTCATTTGTAAAACTAAACAACGGATTTTTCCGAGTGATTGTTTGATTAGGACTTTAAACTCATTTTTATATTAAAAAAATCTTATAAATTTAAATTTTTAAAAATAAGTAGTTATTTTTTTTATTTTTTAAACTTTGTACTCAGTCTATTACAATATATATATATATAATTTATGCAAGTGATAAAAAATTATACATAATAAATTTTATTGAAAATTATAACATTTAACAGTATTAATGCATTATATTGCATTAATTTTTTTAATTTTAAAAAATTAATATATATATAATATTATATTTTTATATTTATAAAACATAAAAAAAGTCATTATATTACCTTAGTTCAACTAAAAAACAATTAACGATTCTTGTTGGCAATTTAAAATAATATAGAAAATTAATAAATTATACAAAATTGATGACAAACAAACTATTTAAACATTTTTTATAATAATATTTTTATTCTTCATTCAATTATTTATTTTAATAAATAAAAGTATACTATAAATTGTTATTATTTAACCTTTTAATTATTAATTTTTTCTTTATATTAAACATATAATATGATTTAATATATTAATTTAAGGTGGAGGCTAATATGAGTTAGCACGTTAAGTAATTTATGAGTAAGTAATTATTTTTAAACCGTTAGATGTATTTTAAAATCTATAAACGGTTCAGATCTTTTATTTGTAACTTAATAATATAAATTTATGCATATATATATATATATATATATATATATATATCATTTAATCCTTCATAAAAATTTTCATAATTTCTCTTTGGATGTTTAAAACCTTTTATTTTGTATTTTGAAAACATGCGATCGAAAGACTCACTTTATGGAAGTTCTCCCCTACTTGAAAGCTAAATAAGAACACAAATAAATAAATTATTGTATTCAATTCTTAGCAGAGGTTCCTTCCATCTAGTCCCTTGAATTACTTTACTCATCTTCGAAGAGTGAAATGATCATTTAAAGCAAACTAACTAAAGGCATAGGGTAAAGGAGCTTAGAAGGGTGAGGGTGGCGGAAGGAATAAGGTATGAATGAAATCACTTAGATAGAAGCATGTTGGATGACGGTCCATATCTCTAATCAGAGACGTAATGGCAACAATTATAGATTCTCCACAAACCCTAATTTTGCAGATAATAATTTTTAGAATTAATACTTTTATATTTACTCTTACAATCTCAATTCATCACAAAAATAACATTTGTATTGATACATTATTTAATGGTCTTTTAGATCTTTCTCATGTTCTCCCTGTATAATGGTCGGTTTACATCACACAAATTTTGTAACTTTAGCTTAAGTTGTGTTTTTTCGCTTAAGCTAAAATTATCAACAAAAATTTGCTCATTGGAGGTAATTCGCTTAAGCGAGAGATAAATAGCTTAAGCTATGAAATACAATACAATTTTGGCTTAAACAGTGAATATTAGCTTAAGTGAATAGCAAGGTAAATAAACCTTTCCATTATAACCAATATAGCTTAAGCGAAATTACCATGATTTAAGCGAAATATGAAATATGCCTTTCAATTCTCCACTCTTTCTCCTTTTCCCTCTATTTTTGAGACTTGAAAAGTTCAACGAGTACCTGTATCTTGTTGAGAATCTTGAAGTTGATGCATAGAACTTGCCAGAAGAGCACTTGAAACCAACAGAAAGAGAGTTGACAACAAAGACTAAGTTTTAACTTCTTAACATTTTAGGTTATAAAAAAAAAAAAACCTTTATATGAATTCATGAAGTATATTTTGAAATTAATATGTATCAAAAGTCCACATTAGTAATTATATGAAAAATTTACCATATGAAAGAAAAAGAGCTCAGTCAAGATCTCTATGCATATCTCTCCATAGGTTTTATCGCAAGGAGGGATAGACTATGGAGACTATATGATAATTTCTTATTTTATATTTAACAATATATATGAAAATTTTACCCTATGAAGTACGCAAATTATGATAAAATAATTAGTCTAAGAGTCAAGACACAGGTAAGGGATGGACAATGGAGACTATAATATATAGGAATGAAACTATTAAAAAAGCCTTTAAAAGTATTTGAATTTGTTAAGCAAATCCATGCAATGACAAACATTATTATTAAAAATTTTGTAAAGATCATTTGTAAGAAAATGAAAATTTTAATGTCACAAGTTGTTTTTGTATGATAAAAAGTAATATTTGAAGTATATAGTTTAATTAATTACATAATCAATATTTTTTTTATGTTAAGACTTTTGCCATATATTTAGGGTTTGTTTGGGAACACACCTTAATTAACTTATTATTAAATAAACCATTTTGTATAATTTTTTCATATCTTAAATTTGTTCATAAAATTTTATATAATGGGCTATATTAAAAAACTTATCAGAATAAGTACAAAATAAAACAACAATAATTATAAATATTCACAAGCTTTTGAAAATTAAAAAATTGTCATTGGAATCAATTTAAGAAATTTGTTTTGAAATTTTCATAATAAGATAAAGTAATTAAAATGTTTGAAAATAATATCATAGAAAAATTGAAACAAATTTGATGACCTTCCACCTTATTCTACTCCTTGTTTTAATAAATCTAATGATGAGTTAACTATTTTTATGATAATTTATCTTAAGCTTTCAAATACTGTTGCTGAAATTGTAAAAAAGGTTCAACACCATTATAAAAAATACTAGTTATACCAATAATAAATGAAAAATGTGTTATTTAACGGTCATTTTAACTATTTAATTAAGATTTTGAATATTGAAAAGTTTTATCAAATACATTCTTAGGGTTAATGCCAACTTTTATAATTGAAATGTATGTCTAAATTAAAATTATAATAAATAATAAAAAATTAAAATTCACAAAAAAATATACTTTTTATACTCTGCTATTTTGAGTTTGAAATTTGTGATCGTAACATATGATTTAACTAAGTAACATGATATCAAATTAATTAAATTGTATTTA